GATGTTGTGGTCTTTATACAATTATTATAATTTTGCGATTTAGTGGGTAAAGCTTAATTGAGATGGGAGCAAGGTTAACCCTCATTGATTGATGTTGCACACAGAAATCGTTGATTCGCCCAGGATATAGAAAGGAGGAAATCAGGAACTACTCACCTCTTTGTTGAGCTTACTTCCATTTCGAGTGGAAGTGCTGTGACGATGATAAATTGCTCTGATGATGTTCGTCACATGATGGACGAAAGCTTAGCACCTTTTCACCCAACTCGAAGGAGATTGCCTCGGAAACAGCGTCAGCATGAATGTTCCAGTAAAGCCAATCGACAGCTGGTCAAGCAGGAGATTGCCTCGGAAACAGCGTCAGCATGAATGTTCCAGTAAAGCCAATCGACAGCTGGTCAAGAGGACTCAGATTCCTCGGAAACAGCGTCAGCATGAATCTTCCAGTAAAGCCAATCGACAGCTGGTCAAGAGAAATTCGCCGTTGCTCGGAAACAGCGTCAGCATGAATCTTCCAGTAAAGCCAATCGACAGCTGGTCAAGAGGAATCCGCCGTCTTCTACAGCGTCAGCATGAATCTTCCAGTAAAGCCAATCGACAGCTGGTCAAGAGGAATCCGCCGTCGTCTTCTTGTGGAACGGACCTTAAAATCTCTTCACCCAACACTTCCACTCGAAATGGAAATAAGCTCAACAATTATGAAACAAGAGATTCCTCGAAACCCACCTTTTCTTCGTATATACGACTCACCTCTGCCATTGTGCAAGTTCTGTCTTCCTGATGGGTACGGGGTGCTGTACCGAGGCGAATGCTCCTGATTCCCTCCAGATGAGAGTCCGTCCTGGAAATCTTCTCTACTATCTGCCCTTTTCTCATGCTGATTGGCCAAACTGGTGCCGGGAGCAGCACCAGGAAAGCCAGCTCCGCCGTCGACAGCCGTTGAGGAGGCCTCCGGCTGAGGGGAGACTATAGGCTCGGCCGGTAGGAAGTAGTTGAGACAGAGGAAGGCAATCA